AAATCAACATTTTAAATAGTAGATTTCACAGTATAATTTTGATATTCAACAGTCTAGGAAGATTGATTTGTATGATTCACTTTTTGAAGTACACATAACTCTCGGATTTAAATCCGAAGTTTCCGCATATATTTCATTTGAGAGACAAATACTCGAGTTTTCAATAAATACAGCATTTTTCATTATTTTTATTAACACAGGCGTTTTGAAATGTAACCACCAGATACAGCGTGAAACACTGCGTCTAGTGATTACATTTGAAAACGTCTCTGTTAGCGAAAATAGTAAAAAAAACCTATTTTTATTGAAAAACCGAGGATTAGTCTCTAAAATGAAAAAAAGGAGTTTTTTTAACAATTTTTAGCATTTTCCAAGTAGTTTTTTCATTTTTCTATCTTAGAAAACGACCTTAAAAATTTTTTACTATATAGTGTTTTGTAGAGCTCGACGAGCTGTATCCAATCATGTAAAAATATTAAAAGAAAATACTAAAATCCATTTTTCAATCACTGACGCCTTAGTTTCTATGCAAAAAAAACATAAAATTTCTTAATTTCGACATCAAAAAGTTTTGATAACTCTTACAATTTAATATTAAAAATCCCATTTTCGACGCGCTTTAATTTGGTATAAAATTAACTATGTATGCTATTTGAAATTATCGTGTTAGGGTGTGGGTGTGGGTGTGGGTGTGGGTGTGGGTGTGGGTGTAGGTGTAGGAGTGGGTCTGGATGTGGGAGTGGGATGTGACTGTTACTGTTCATCTCATCCAAACCCATACCTATCCAGATCCACATCCACACCAACCCACACCCGCCTACAACCACACCCACACCCGCCTACAACCACACCCACACCCGCCTACAACCACACCCACACCCACACCCACACGCACACCCACACCCACACCCAAACCACACCCTCACCCAACCCACACCCTCACCCACCGTTATAATATAGATTAACAACGTCATAATATTTTAACATTGTTCTACAATCATCAGATTAACATGATTTCAAGTTTTATGTTTAAGAATTTCTTGTTGAAACTGATCGAACTCTAATTTTGAATTAGTGTATTGATACATTTCGCATCAAATAATCCACAAATATTCAAGTTAAATTTCATATCGCAGTAAACGGAAGAAAACAAAAAAGGATGTCAGCGTGTAATACGAGTTTTTTAGAGAAAGAATGAAAAAAGTCGTAATGTTCGTCTACATCATACGCACCCACACTCAAAAAAACATGGTTGTTTTCTTTCAATTCGTTTCTTCGTTTTATCTATATATACGTTGATGATGAAGGTAAAAACCAACTAAATTATTTCTTATTTAATGTTATAGAATCGTCTATTTTTTGTATTAATATGGGTAAATTGGAATTGTTACCAAACGAAATAATCATTCAATATTTTAAATATCTTAATATATTCGATATTTTTCATTCATTTGATCAATTAAATTCGCGTTTTAACAAATTAATTCGAAATATTCCATTATATCTAAATTTTGAAAATGTTCGAAAGAGAATATTTGATCAATTTTGTACTGAAATTTTATTAAATCCAGAAATGAAACAACATATATATTCATTAAATTTATCAAATAAAGATTCATGTGGTCAAATCGAATTATTTCTTAAATTATTTTCACTCAACGAATTTTCTAATCTTCAATCATTATCATTGATTGATATCCAAGAAGATGATGTCATATTATTGAAATCAATGTTACCATTAATACCTCAATTATATCATTGTCATTTGATGTATCATCGTCATTTGATGATATTCAATGATAAAATAAATGAAACATTGTCTGCTCTGCCAATGTCTCAACTACAAACTTTATCAGTATCAAAACTGGAACTTGATTTAACACCTACTAATCAAATTTCATCAGTTACAAAGCTAACTATTAACTATTATTACTATATTCCACTAAGCTATCTATTCAAATATATGCCTATGTTAAAATATCTCCATATTGGAAAACTCTATTTAAACAATACTGCGTCGATAAAGTATGATAATTGTGCTGGTCATCTAAAAGAATTAATTATAGATGATTTTGAATATCCATTTGAATATTTTGAAATGTTAGTAAAACAAACACCAAATTTAAAAATTTTAAAAATATCTGCCTCTATTCATAAAAGTATCATCAATGCTAATGCATGGGAATATTTAATTAAAACTTCATTACCTTATCTAAATATTTTTATCTTTAAATTCGAAATTTATCATGGAGGACAAGAACACAATGATATTACTGATATGTTTAAACAATTTCAAAGTGACTTTTGGCAAATAGAACATCATTGGCATACTGTATATGTATTAGATATTAATTTTGCACTTATTTTTACAATACCTTATTACTCAGATACTTATGACTTAGTATGGTATACTGATAGTTATTCAAATAAATCAGTAAATCATTTCAACGTACATGATAAAGTGACAAATTTAAAATTACATAATAATTTATCAATAAAGAAATATCCATATTACTTTTCAAACGTCAGAGAACTAAGCATAGCGTATCTCTGGCCATCGGATATTAACGACCGTTTATTCACCGAAGAAAACATAATATATTTCAAAGAAAAGATTAATTTATCGAAATTAAAACAGTTAAATTTGAGTTCGTATTCTATAGAAACATCAATTTTATTACAAATATTAATAGAATCACCACGATTATCAGAAATGACTCTTGATACTGATCTTATTCGATCATTTTTCAATAACAGTGAATTATGTGAATATTTAAGCAAAATGATCAAAACATTGCATATAATTGCGCATAGTGGTTATCATAATATGGAAAAATTTTATGAAACATTTTCAAGTTTAGAAATACTTCATTGTGGTTTCGTTCGTATGTCTTCCGAAAATGATTGGAATTTTTGGATATCTTTAATAAATCATCTTTCACAATTTTCGACAATAAGTTTATGCAATATATCAACCACGTGGATTTATGAAGAAAAATTCTTTTCTCAATTGCAAAATGAAGCTACGAACCGAAATTTAATCTTTCGATTCATACCTCCTCATAAAAATAAGAGTCAACATATTCAGACAGAATTACAAATATGGATTGATGACATGAAATGAAATTTTAGAAGATAGTTGAGAGTATTTTTTTTTATTTTATTAAAATAATTTTTAATGGATATTCCAGAGAAATACTTTTCATCGTTAATATGGATTGTATTGATTTCAATATTAGTTCTTGCTCTTATTTTATAGAAAAGAGAAACCATTCAAAGACATTTTTCTAATCGCTATTCAACAGAGATGTCCATCGCGGCTGAAACCTTGCCGCTGCCGCGCAACGGCCTTAAAAAGAAAAAGCTACCGCACCGCAATGGCGTATTTGAAAAAGTTGCCACGACGCGATGCTGTATTTAAAAAAGGTACCGCGACGCGTTGTAAAAAAACATGCTGCTGCCGTGATGGTTTTCAAAAAAATGTTTCGAATTTGACTGCAGCGATTGAATTAGAGTAGAAACATTGCTAGTAGTCTATCAAATTCATTCAGTTTCAGGCTGTTTCATTCGTAAACATTGAAATTCTATTAAGTTTACGCAGTTTTTCATTGTTGTCGAAAAAATTGTGCCGCTGCCGCGATGGTTTTTGAAAAAATCTGCCGCTGACGCGTCGCGACCGCCACCGCGGCAGCGCTGCTATGGACATCTCTGCTATTTAACTTAAATTCAAGATTCAATTGATGTATACATTCAGAAATCAGTTCGTTTTCTCTTCCTGTTTCCGTACTATTAATTTCCAAATAATATAAATAAAATTCCACCGAACGGGTACTCAACATAGTACATTTTAATACTAATACTAATCAAATAGAAAAAACCTGAGCGAGATTAAAAAGATAAATATTGTGTCTATTTAATATCGACTAATATCTCTTCCATATGTTTGTATACGAATCCAATCAAATGCAAGCAATGTTTTTGTTCGTCCAGTAAACATTTCTGCAAAATAAAATGATTTCCATAAATAATCTGCATCGCGACCCGATAATGGTTTTAAATTAAATATATTCAAGAATAGTTTTGAACCAGTAAAATCTACAACAGCTGCGTCTCTACCAACATATGCTAATGAACCCATCTGTTTATATTGAAATGGTTGAAATTTTCTGGTTATTGTTCATAATCATTTAATTGTAAACTATTCATTTGATTAAGTAAATGTGCAAGATAAAGACCTTGTTGATATACATCTTGCACTGTTGCAGGTAATGCACAATTTTTTTGATCAGCTTTTTCAAGAACTGAACGAAGAGTATCAAGTGTTAAATGACTCAATTTTTCTTTATCAGGTTCTGTAAATGCTTTTTCAACGCTCTTAGAAAATATTTCAAGTTGTGGAAATTCTTTTATTTTATTTTCAACTAATCTTTTAAATTGTTGAAGGTTAAGTGAACCTCGATGTTCTCGATCAGCTTCTTAAAATAATAATTGAATTTGATCAACTAATTTTGGGTGTTGAATTGTTGCGCAATTTCCAAGAGCAAATAATGAATTATTATGAATACCTTTCACACGTAAATATTAATCTGTAAGAAGACCCATTTGATTAGTTTGAATATTTGAACCAATTATTTCTCGATTTTTTTCTGTTAATGGTCGAGCTTTAATTCCAGTTGCCCAAACAGCAATTGAACATAGAATTGATAGAGATTTATCTGAGCCTTTTGATTATAGAAGAACTTCTCGTTGTTTTACCTCTTTGACACGTGCATTAACTATAACTTCAATATGTTCATGAAGAAAATGTTTTTTCCGTATAATCACTAATTTTTGTATCCTGTAGGAAATAAAATAATAAATGAAAGAAATTTTTAAAAATTCACAAACCATAGTAGATAAAATATGGTCAGCTGATTGAATTAATATTCTTTTAACAGAATTTGCACAGGGATATGGATAACAATATTGCAGATCCTCATGAATCAAATCTGAAAGCTAACATTGATATTATATAGTACTAAAAGTAATACATGACATACTTCAGCAGCGAAATCGACACCAGTTGGCCTACCTCCTACACTGTAAAAAAAAGGTGTTATATCGAACTTTAAAGGTTTGGCATCATTCTACGAAAAGATTTTAAGTTCTGTAGCGGGAAAACCGTTTTGTACTTTTCATACAGAACTTTTTTAGGTTCTGGAGCATAGATAGGGTTTCGACATATTTCTACGAATCCCTCTCGAAGTTCCGATCATTGAGTGCCGAACTTTGATAGTACCATATCTTTCGTGCAAAACCACGGGGAGTTCCATATAAATTCTGCGAAGCCTTTCATAGTTTCGTAATTTTTCTGATAGTTGCGCACATATTGTACGAAACTAGGTAAGGTTCCGTAAAATCCGTACAGAATCATTCGAGCCATTGCGAAACTAGGTTTGGTTTTGTAAAGCCCATACAGAACCACTACATCATTTTCGAAACTAAAACCGTTTCGTACACCAGATACAAAACCTTTTGATGTGTTGCAAAACTATCAGTGGTTTCGCCAACTATCTGCGAAGCCTTTGCAACGCACGGAAGTAATAAGGGCTTCGTATTATATACACCGAACCTTCATATGTACGACGAAACTATAAATGGTTTCGTACAGCGCAGAGGGAATCGTTATTAGTGTTACAAAACTAAAGGAGGCTTTGCATAATAAATAAGAAACCTTCTACTGTTTTCTGAAGTCACCTATAGTATAGTTAGTCAACTAATGGCTTCGATTTGTTTCACAGTGCTAAGAATAATTTCGCAAAACAGCTTTAGTTTTATCATTTGTACGCATCCCAGGGCGAATGTTTCCAATAGGATCCAATCGAATCCACCAGAGGGTGTGGGTGTGGGTGGGTGTGGGTGTGGGTGTGGGTGTGGGTGTGGGTGTGGGTGTGGGTGTGGGTGTAGGGTGTGGGTGTGGGTGTGGGTGTGGGTGTAGGGTGTGGGTGTGGGGTGTGGGATGTGGGTGGGTGTGTGGGTGTGGCTGTGTTTGGGTGTGGGCCAGTGTTCGACATAAGTCACTTTTTTAGTGACCCGACCCGACCCCAGCTTTTTTTCTGACCCGACCCGAGGAAAAGAATTTTATTCAAAACATGAACAGATTCGAAGACAATTTTTTCCTATATGTACATATTCGTTATACTTTAAATTCTTTTTTTCTTTCGCCTATCATGCATATCTGTAAAAATATACCGATCTCTTTTCTTTCTTTTGTTTTTATTTTATTGCGGATTTAAAAAAAAAGAACATGTCCTTGACTTTTTCTCGGTTTTTATGTACCACTGGTATTGCATAGTTATGGCAACAAAATCATCTGATAATACTTCATTGTTTTTCTTCATTCATTTATATCATGTATAGAATTGAAGACTATTACATCGCTAGATAATATATTATATACTTACTATAAATGCTCTTAAGATAGCAACGGATATAAAATAATGAAATAGCACAAAAGATGATATCATTCATGCTGCTTTATTATATCTAATTTTTTGTTGTGCGATCACAGAACTTATAAACAAAAAAGTGGCATGATTTTTGTTTCTGAAAAAGACGTATTTGACCCGCCCCTCCCCTGCCCAACCCGAGTCGAACACTGGTGTGGGTGGGTGTGTGGGTGTGACTGTGTTTGGGTGTGGGTGTGCAGCGTGGGTGGGTGTGTGGGTGTGGTGATTGTGAGTGTTAATCGTCGGTTTAGTCAGAACCACACCCACACCCACGCTCACACGCCCACACCCACGCTCACACGCCCACACCCACGCTCACACGCCCACACCCACGCTCACACGCCCACACCCACACACCCATATCCACAAACCCACACTGGCACACTCACAACCACACCCACATCCACACCCTAAAATATTTCAATGATCAGTTATTAATTAATAAGGTTTGTAAATAAATTTGAGAATCAGTAAATATAATAATTTAACAGTAAATTAAATAAAAAGATGAGTTTAGAAATTCAAATGTGCTATGGTATGATTCATTTTTACCTTTTTTTCTTGTTCTTCGACTATGTCGTACATATAACAAGTACGACATACATGACGATATATGCATACCCATTGTTTCCGTCTTATCTCTCATCATCAGCTGTGTAAACAAGTAAAAAAGATGGAAGTGGTACAGGTTGCACAATATGAAAGTGATTTATCGGATGAAGTTGTCGAAGAAAATAATGATTTAAATCAAAATAAAAAAGTCAAGAAGAAGAGAAGATCTAAGCATTGGGTTAAAGAAGCTACATTTGATAATGCTGAGGAAGCAGAAGAATCAATTGAAAATATCTGGTCAAAATAGTATACAAATTATACAGATCATGGAAGAAGAGTTTACTACAGATGCAACAAAGCTAAACTTCGTGGACCTCAATGTAGTGCAAGTATTCATCTGTTATATCATGCAGACAGTGATCAAGTGACTGTTTATAAAACTGAAGGTGAACACGATCATCATGATGAAAAAGTTCGTGGTATTGATGAAAATGTTAAAAAGTGCATTGAAGAATTATATAATGATGGTATCACGAAGCCAAAACAAATTATTCGAGCACTTTAAACAAGAAAAATGAAAATGCCAACATTAATACAGATTAAAAATTACCTTGTCCAATACAAAAAAAAAGAAATATGGTTTACATAAAATAAGCTAAGGTGAATTAGAACAATGGTGTGAAGGTAATGTAGAAGTGCCAATTGATGAAAATAAAGCTTTTGCTGTATCATACAAAATATTATATGATAATGAAGAATATGAAGATAATGAAGATATCGAAGAAGATGGAAATAAATTCCATATATTTATATCATCTGTTCGTTTGCTCAACATTGCATCAATATCGTCACATTTACATGCTGATGCTACATATAAATTAGTTTGGCAAGGTTTTCCTGTTTTAATTGTTGGTACTACTGATTTTAACAAAGCAGTTCATCCATTTGGTTTAGCAGTATGTTCAAATGAAACCATTAAAGATTTTGAATTTATCTTCAATAGTATTCAGGTTGGTATGCAAAAAATAAATAAAGATTTACTAAAACCAACAGCATTGATATCTGATGCTGCTGATGCAATTAAAAATGGTTTTACAAATATATTCGGTTCTTCTTATAATCAAATAATGTGTTGGGCGCACATGAAAAGAAAAGTTAACAATCGTGTATGTCAAATAGATGACAAACATATTGCAAAAGAAATTATAGAAGATATTGAAATGCTCCAATTATCTAATTCTACAGAAGTATTCAAATTAGCATCAACATTATTTGTAAAGAAATGGAATATGAACAACAAACAAAAAAATGAATCAATATTAGATTTTATGAATTATTTTTACAATGAATGGCTTAAAACAAATGATGGTTGGTATGAAGGTATACAAGTTTATACACCAAGCACAAACAACGCTTTAGAAGCAACCAACAGAACAATTAAAGATGATGGAACATTCAGAGAACGTCATATTTTATCAAGATTTTTGACAATAGCTTCGAATATTGTCAATAATTGGTCAATTGAACGAGATATCACATCAATCAAAGGAAAAATATTTGCTACTGAACCAACAATATCTTTAGAATTATGGACTTTATCTTATCAATGGGCTAAATCAACAAAAGATATAATTTGTATTTCTAATGATTCTTCAAAAACATATTATATACCAGCTCGTGATTTACAATCAATATCTCAAGCCAGTTTAAATAAATATAAAAATAAAACATGGTCAACATTTAATCAATTCACAAAATCATTTGATATTTGGTGTATGGAAATGGATAATGGTTCAGATTGGAGAAAATCAAAATGTAGCTGTCCAGGTTTTTTTAAGAATTACATATGCAAGCACGTTGTTGGTATGGCTATTCGTTTAAAATATTGCAAACCACCACCATCAGCAAAAACAGTTCCCATCGGTGAGAAATGAAAAAGAGGTAGACCAGCTAATGCTAAACCCGCTTTGCTAGTACAATAATTTCATTTTCTTTTTCTTTTTCTTTTTCTCTCATTCGTTCTTGGATTTCTATTAAATGTTCTTCCGGATTTTTCCTTATTTATTCAAATTTATTTTTCTTTTACTATGTTACTTGATACTGTTAAAACTTATTTTTTTACCGATAAAATCTCTATTTTATACTGATCAAATTTGTATTTTTTACTGAAATAAATTGTATTTTTTACTGTTACTTATATTTAATAAACTGATCATATTATTATTATTTACTGGTAATTTTAGTACTGATCATTAAATCTTTGTACTGATCATTTAACCTTTATACTGATCATTTATAAATTTTTATACTGATCATTTAACCTTTATACTGATCATTTATAAATTTTTATACTGATCATTTAACCTTTATACTGATCCTTTATATATTTTTTTACTGATCATTTAATCTATTTTACTGATCAAATATTTTGTTCCCTTTTATTATTTACTGGTTGGTATTTTTTTCTTTTTGTTTTTTCTAATAGCGGAATCGAATGACAAGACGTTAAGGCCGCCCCCCATTCCGAGAATCAATTTTTTTAAAAAAATTCAATTTTCGAGATAAACCTATGGTTGTTACCTCTAAGGTGTCTAGTTTTAAAATTCATGAAAGTCACTTCCAATTTCGAAAGGCTTCTTAAGAATAATCGATGAACTTCTAAAG